AAAATTATTTACATGTCAATTGCGATTATTTTTGTATCAAATTAATATACAACGAATATATATTATTGTTTCAACTCCAACAAAAAATAATGATGATAACAATGTCCCTAAAGAGAAACAGGTGCGCGATCGGTATGATGTAGATGTAGTAAATAATTTAAAACTGGTCTAATATGGTCGTTCTGGTTTTTAACAGGCATGCTTGCATGTTAGTGTATTTGAGACTAATTAATTAGCATCCTTTTTATTAGAGAATTCCATAATCTGTATGGTTATTTTATTAATATGGTTAAGTAATTATATTACATAAAAAATGTTAAGAATATTTTGACCAAAGATTTTTAATAGCAAATTGTTGCATTTTACTGTACCTATCAAAGCAATTGATTGTATTACAAGGAAAAAGTAAACCACTAGTATTGAAATGTGTTTTTATTATTTTCGCTGTGCAATCTTATAAATGAACATAAAAATGGTTTTTATATCTGTACCTAGAATTGATTGCATTAGTTTTGCCTCGAGTAAACAACATTTCTTTTTAACGAACAAAATATCAGATAGCAAAAAAATCGTTTGTATAGTTCAATCGTGTGTGTATACAATATCATTTGAGATATACGATGGCGTAGGCAGGCGGTCGTAGATCAATGTCATTTCGGACACTGTATTCACTATAAATCTCTCATGCAAATTTTGTTCTCTTGTGCGGTCACTAGATAACTGGTGTTTGTATTGATGATGCCCTCCTTATTGATATAACAATTATATATATATACTTGGTGTACAGAGACCGAATGCTAGCTTTATAGTGTCCCTCGCCACGACAAGTTTATTAATAATCTTTATCACGATGTTAATATTGCAAGCATACCCGATCCTGTAGATCGAATGGTAAACAGTCGACGTCACCCTAAAGACGTCATTACGGATCCTTCCTATCCATTAACGTGGTTTTATGTACCACATGCACCGATCACCGTCCCCGTCGAACCCGTCGCTTGCGACGAAGGGCTCGACGAGCCAATTAAGCCATAGACACAGCCCACTGAGTTTCTCGCCAGATCTTCCCAGTGGGTCGCGTTTCCGATTCGATGGTAGATTTTGCGAAGCACTGCTCCTGCTAGGGTTAGTGTTAGTGATGTCACCAAGCTAGAGCCCCGTAAACTCGCCTACTCTTCTGGTGAATCTAGCACGACCCCTCGAGGTCACTAGAATAGAAAGAAAAAAAAAACGATCAGACAAACTAATAGCCAGACCTAAACGCAAAAACATAATAGTTTGCCAAGATTAATACAGTAGGTAGTGTAATGCTGAGGGCAGTTCATTTGCTTTCATGCAAGCCGGCTATGTCCTCGCGTCAGCTGATTTTAAGCGTAGTATAAAAATATGGTGAAAAATATCTCAAAAAGTAATAAATGTCATCGTGATACGAACCCTCAATCAAGACAGTTTCATTAATCAGCACCTGCGTCTACTTTATTTCCGGGTATTCTGTACATTTTCAGCTATGAATTCCTTTGTAGATTTTGATATACAGTATTACTGAGATTTCTTGTAAATATTAATGCAAACTGCCAAACGTCAAATTTTTTTTTCTTTATTGTTTAGATGGTTGGACGAGCTCACAGCCCGCCTGGTGTTAAGCGGTTACTGGAGCCCATAGACATCTAAAACGTAAATGCGTCACCCACCTTGACATATAACTTCTAAGGTCTCAGTATAGTTACAACCGCTGCCCCAGCCTTCAAGTTCTAAAGAAAATACATCTAAATACACACTTTCAAGACATCTAAATAAAATTTACACTTTTCATACTGTTAATGATATTTGTCTGACGTATCGTATCGAAGAACGTGTCGTGTAGCTTAAGAAATACCGACGATCGTAGTTCATATTATTGTGTAATTTGCAGCAAATAGATTAGTTTCCGTTCGAAAGGTAGGGCTCTTATTTTAAAATACGACGACTTCGGTCTCGATGGCTTAAATTAGATTATCTACTAGTCTTGGATATATTCCATCTAATGGAGATTTGATTGCTGCTCAGTCAAGCACCCTAGTCTCATCAAACATAGATAGTAATATATTAATCTTCGCTCAACGATCGATATTCAATCATAATCACTGAAACCTCAACATAACGATTTATGTTATTAAACATTACGCACTTCGCTTTTTTTATTGATAAATAAAAGAACATTTCCAAATAAAAAAGATGTGTGGTATCGTGGGACACCGGATAGGAACGAAGTTCCTTATTATAAAAATATCAATTTTAAGTTCTATTCGAGGTATAAAGAAAATAAAACTGGAGGTTTCGCAACAACCCTCGGTCATTCATAACGTGCAAGCTTATTGTGGTACACTTCATTCACGGTTGTTTGCATAATTAATTGAGTTAATGTATTGCGCAAACGAACGAAGTGCGATCGCGTGGTCAATGAATGATAAAAAAATAGGTTATTTTTGTACGTTATTACAAAGTTAAGTCGTACACTGTGTGCATTACTAATAAAAATCTTACGTTACGGACGTTTTTTCCCAGTTAGGGTACCCCTCTGCATCGTCCCATAAGGAACTTAGTTCCATTGAACTAACGGTAATGCCGATGTCTAATAACGCATATATGAGTCGTCTATTATCAAAGGTGGCAATCTGTGCATTTGGACAAAAAATTTTTATTGATATGTCAATACAGATTGATTTGAATATAATCGTCTCCTTCAAAGAATACGGTTCAAAACCTGCATTAAATAAAGGTTAATACTTAACCTGTTATTTATCTAAGATGTCGTTCCGAAGAGTTTTGTGACTGCCAATGGAATACAAAGTCAATAATTCGTTTTTCTGATTTACCAATCGTTGTCCAAAAGTCAGATTGCCAGCTTTGATAATAGTCGACTCATATTTACGTAATATTAAAACTTGATTAGGCAAGGAGAGACACACTATACACCTATCTGTCTTTGCTTAGCAATTATGACAATATTGATTGGATATATTTTCGTACAAAGGATCTTCAAGCATTATCGGAGAAATTATTCAAGAATAAATACTAATTTACTTATACAAGTAAACTGTTGACCTCAACTTAACATAATTCATTCTACAATAGCCGATAAAACTGTCTTCGGTCGACAGTAAAATTATTCCTCCTTCTTGTAGACATTCCGTGAGGTCATAAGGTTTTATATTGCGTATTCTAATCCCCTGTTTGCCGATTAATCAGAAGATAGCGATCCCGTGTACGGGACTCTAGTTTCTTTGAGTTAGCAATACTACCATTATTACTTATTCGGTAGTCGTATCCTCACATTATTTTGAAGTCGTCGTGGCCTAACGGATAAGACGTCCGGTGCAATCGTGTTGAAGCGATGTACGGTGAAGGAATAACATCGTGTAATAAAAATGAAACCCGTAAAATTAAAATTTGCTTAATTACTGGTGGTAGGACCTCTTGTGAGTCTGCGCAGCCACCCTGTCTATTTCTGCCGTGAAGCAGTAATGCGTTTCGGTGTGAAGGGTGGGGCAGCCGTTGTAACTATACTTGAGACCTTAGAACTTGTATCTCAAGGTGGGTGGCGCATTTACGTTGTGGATGTCTATGGTATGCTCCAGTAACCACTTAACACCAGGTGGGCTGTGAGCTCGTCCAACCATCTAAGCAATAAAAAAAAAATTACAAAATCAACCGACTACGTCCAAAATTATCCAACAAAATTAAATATCAACGATATCCAAGTAACTTAGACCTTCGGCTGTGGTGGTAGGCTAGTATGGTCGGTCTGTGGGTGCATGGGTACGTGTTATTTCAAATCCATGAGGGCAGAAAGCATTAGGATCATCGTATGACGGGGAGGTGATGGGAGAGATGTGCTCCGCACTAAACGATTCGCTTTCCCCCTTTGCCTTTTCATGAGTTCTGTCTCATGCGAGGTTTGGATGCTGGTTGTTGAGCGACAGGAAGTTTTAGTTGGTTCGACTCCGACATGTTCCGCCCGCCATTCTCAGTGGAGGGCGGAAGTCCGGCGATATTCGCCTGACAAAAAAAAAGAAGGATCATCGTATATCAATCTCACTGTAAATAGGAGTAACGAAAATACTCGCAAAATTCTGAATATATATCGAATGATGTTATCAAACGAATTACGTAACATTTTAAGTACAGAGAGCGGTGGTGTCTTGTGCGAATGCAAGCTAACAACATAAAGCTACATTGTTATTCGCACAGATTTATAGACCGTAAAACATTATGTTGCGAGCCCGCAGCCAACAGTGAATTTAATATTATGCGAGAAACTACTTTTGCTATTATTTATTAGATGGAGTACTCTTTGAGACTTAAAATAAATACTATAGAGTATTATTGTTGGTTCTTTTAGTTGAAAGGGTGAAAAATTCATGAATCATTTTAGTGTAGGTACATCGCGGTGTGGGAGGTATATGACAAAGGGAAGATCTTCCACCGAGCGGCTGATATTGTTCGGTAAACCGGCGGTTTGTATGTTATTGTTCGGAACTTCTACGAGTACATATATGCAAGCTTATCGATAAAATGCCATAAGCGAGATTCAGGCATCTGTCAAATATCTTGCGTTGTATGATGGCTACCGCCACAATGGCTTTACTCATTCAGCTCTCTTTTGTTCTACATATTACGGCATTCCCATCCCATCATTAAGGAAATTTCAAATTTCAACTCCCAACTATGATTTCAAAGAGAGAAACTGCAGCCTCATGAGAAAAATGACACACATTACACATCCTATGGATCACTTCTACGATTAAAACATAAGTATGAAGTATTATTATCAGTTTGGTTATTTTCACATTAAGTAATGCACCTATCACAGGATACTCTACACCACCCTTGGTTGACTGGTAGAGAATGCCTTAGGCATTAAGTCCGCCATTGTACTTCTGTGCATTAAGTTAAATGAATAAATAAATAAATAAATAAAACAGAACGTGTAATTAATTGGCTTTTTCTGTTTGTTACAGGTGCAGTGCTAACTTTTGGGGCGTGCGTGTTTGAGTGCGTGCGAGTGTGCAGACAACGTCGCGGGAGGTGCTCGCGCGCGTGTGTGTGTGTTTAAGTGCTAGTGACACGGTGAGAGTGTTGTGCGTCGTGCGGTCCCAGGTGGCGCCGACGCTGCCGTCAAGTCAATGCCGTTGTGCCGATGGAGCGGTGATCGCGGCCTGACTACGTCGCTACAGCAGCGCTGGTCAGTATTCAATACAATTGGATCTTTTAGTACGAAGTTCCTTATGGGACTATGCAGAGGGGTACCCTAACCGGGAAAAAACGTCCGTAACGTAAGATTTTTATTAGTAATGCACACAGTGTACGAGTTAACTTTGTAATAACGTACAAAAAATAACATATTTTTTTATTATTCATTGTCCACGATCTCAGAGCGTTCGTTTGCGCAATACACTAACTCTTATGTAAACAACCGTGAATGAAGTGTACCACAATAAGTTCGCACGTTACCGAATGACCGTGGGTTGTTGCGAAACCTCCAGTTTTATTTTCTTTGTACCTCGAATAGAACTTCAAATTAATATTTTTATAATAAGGAAATTCGTTCCTATCCGGTGTCTAACGACACCACACATCTTTTTAATTTATTTATTGCTTAGGTGGGTGGACGAGCTCACGGCCCACCTGGTGTTAAGTAGTTGCCGGAGCCGATAGACATCTACAACGTAAATATCGCCACCCACCTCGAGATATAAGTTCTAAGGTCTCAGTATAGTTACAACGGCTGCCCCACCCTTCAAACCGAAACTCATTACTGCATCACGGCAGAAATAGGCAGGGCGGTGATACCTACCCGAGCGGACTCACAAGAGGTCCTACCGCCAGTAATAAAGTTCCGTACCGACCAGTTCTGGTGCGTACTTAAATAAGAAGTTTCACTTTCTGTTTTTTTAAAAATCAATGTTGCTGTTTCAAAAATATGCGATTTACATAGCAAACTCTAACCATCAAAATGAGTTGTGGGCGCCGTAGTTGATCGTAATATTTTTGAGGAAACAATAGAATCTGACCAACGTCGTACCTGGAAACTAAGTGTTCACTATACGTCAAAACAAACACTCTCTAAGACGACAGATCGGTCACGCTATTGACCAATGTTTTTTTTTGACAATCATCGTCAGTGTGTACTTTTCGATCCAGAAAAGTGTAAGACCAACATTACATATTCAAATCATGAATCTGAACATAAATGTTGTTAAATAAGACTGCATTTTGTTTTTTTACTGCTATTCTCCATTCCGTCAGGTACACATAATTGTTTCAGAGTGCTAAATCGCACTAATATGGAACAACCCCTACGCCCTTACTTAGCGGCAAACAAAAGGAAGCTGCTATAACTCCATACAATTACTGGTGGTAGGACTTCTTGTGAGTCCGCGCGGGTGGGTGCCACCACCCCGCCTATTTTTACCGTGAAGCAGTAATGCGTTTCGGTTTGAAGGGTGGGGCAGCCGTTGTAACGATACTTGAGACCTTAGAACTTATATCAAAAGGTGGGTGGCGCATTTACGTTGTGGATAAATATGGGCTCCAGTAACCACTTAACACCAGGTGGGCTGTGAAGCTCGTCCACCCATCTAAGCAATAAAAAAAAGTTAACTTTTACGCGATCGAGAAGTTAAAAAACTCGCACTAAGCATACAGAACAGAACTAGTTTGAACAATGGTACAGTATAGTATAAGGCGTGACCTGATAAAAAAAAGGTTTTTCCTTTTTGGGACCATCATTAAATGTGTTCTAATGAAGGGAAATTGAGTGATTCACATTATCTGTTAACTTACGGACGCTAGTAGAAAGGTTTTTTTTTTCTCTCGATATTCTGACAAAATTCTCTCCGAGGAAGTCAAATCGAACTAAGCAATATCCAGAAATTAAACCTGACTTCGTTTGTGTAGAATTACTAAAGTCGAACGACTTTAAAATGTGGGATTCTCTGTTTTAAAAAAACCGAATAACATATCGACGCTTGAAAGGCAAACGTGACTAAGCGACAATGCGTGAACTTTACAGTAGACTAATTTAAAGTTGAAATACCTGAAAACAAAATTTATTTTATCGAATCTAGCTGTAGTAGAATCTAGCTAGTAGCTGTAGGATTGAAATGATTTTAATAGACCTAGAAATTTTTTTTTTTTTGCGCATCGTATATGGTTATTGCCTATCATTTTCGTACAGAGCAGTTATTGTCGCTTGGTCATGTTTGCCTTTCAAGCGTCGATATGATCATCAAAGGGCGACCATTTTGTAACCAATTGAATTTATTAAATGTTACTTATTTTGTGTAAGCTATGAATTAATTTGCGGCAGGGGTGGACGTGTTGTGATTATAAGTAGTATGATAAGTCGGTATCATACCATTTTGATTATTTTTAACGCGACGTACTCGCGCATGAAGATGATAGCATAGTAGGCCAGTCGTTATACAAATCAGGCTGTGACCTCATGTTTCAAGGTGGGTGGTGGCATATACGTTGTGATGTTTTTTTTTTATTGCTTATGTTGGTCGACGAGCTCACAGTCCACCTGGTGTTAAGTGGTTACTGGAGCCCATGGACATCTACAACGTAAATGCGCCACCCACCTTGAGATATAAGTTCTAAGGTCTCAATTATAGTTACAACGGCTGCCCCACCCTTCAAACCGAAACGCATTAATTACTGCTTCACGGCAGAAATAGGCAGGGTGGTTGGTACCTACCCGTGCGGACTCACAAGAGGTCCTACCACCAGTAATTACGCAAATTATAATTTTGTGGGTTTCATTTTTATTACACGATGTTATTCCTTCACCGTGGAAATCAATCGTGAACATTCGTTGAGTACGTATTTCATTAGAAAAATTGGTACCCGCCTGCGGGATTCGAACACCGGTGCATCGCTCAACACGAATCCATCGGACGTCTTATCCGTTAGGCCACGACGACTTCAAATGATGTATGTGTGCTCTGCTAATCTCTGACCCCAGGTGGGTTTGTTCCCACATATTAGCAATAATGATTAAAAAAATATATCAGTATGACATGTAGATAGCGTTATTGAGTATTATCAACTATTGAGATATTTAAAAACAAAAAAAGTTTCATTAGTACCGTAAATCTAGTTCCACGTACTTCGCAAGTACACTTTGTGGTAGGCAGTATTGCGCATTGTTGATATCCCGTGAGTGACGGCAGCCAGATGGGGGTTGCATCTATGTGTGTATTTAAAAAAAGAAAGAAAAAAAGTCGTAATCGTATCAGAAATGCCTTTTTTAAAAAAACCTATACCTATAAAATAAACAAACGCACCGGTAAAATTTCGAAAAAAAAAATACTGACTACCATTTTATAAAAGCCAAAGATTCCGTTACAGATTCGATATGACGTTACTATGTAGTGATTAAATCTCTCGAATTACGCTTTCTGTGCCTGTAACTAAATTGCTTATCTGTATTTAATATTTAATTATTATTGCACGAATACTGTTAACGATGATCTGGTTTGTAAGCAATTACGATTTCGAAATTAATTAAATGTCGCACATGTACACAATTCGTATTAATTTTCCATTGATAAAACCGTTTGAAGGATTAACGAGATATTACGTGCAATCGCGCTATTTATGTTATGTAAATATAGTCTCGGTTGTGTAATTAAAATGTGTAATAATTTGTTGTGATACATGTAATAATAACGTGATTTAAATAAAGAAGAAATAAGTCGTCTATAGTATGTTTTTAACGAGTACATTAATTGAATATTATGCAATTTCGAAAAGGGCACATGTCGCATATTTTGTCAAATACGTTTTTTCATATACCATGTAGTTTTAAGGCTTACCTACACCCATTTTATAATAATTCCGGTAAGTTTCAATTGCTAATTAACATTAAAATATATCTCAAAATTTATATTTTAAATTTTACACTGCTTTAGAACTCCTGAACATTTTCAGAGATGTGCCCTTTTCGAAATTGCATATTCATCAATCTAGAAGGCTCAATGGCCCTGATTGTAAGTGGTTACGTATGTAGATTGATATCAGCAATGTCAAGTATGCAGCAAGGCCTTTGTATACCGCTACGAACTTGTTCAAGCGAGTCTTCAAAGATGGAAGAAAACTTTATTATTTTTCTTTTATAAATACAGTATTTGAAGTCGTCGTGGCCTAAAGGATAAGACGCCCGGTTCATTCGTATCTAGCGATGCGACTGGGCCGGTGTTCGAATCCTGCAGGCAGATACCGCGGTTAAGGAATTATAACATCGTGTAATAAAAATAAAACCAGCAAATACTATAGTTTGCGTAATTACTGGTAGGGAAACTTGTGTAGATAACACCACCCTGCCTATTACAGTTGTAAGGCAGTAATGCGTTTCGGTTTGAAGGACGGGGCAGCCGTTGTACTGTAAAACTGAGACTTAAAACTCATGTGTCAAGATGTTTGACAGTATTTACGTTCTTTATGTCTATGGGCTTCGGTGAACACTTAACACCAGGTGAATCGTGAGCTCGTCCACCCATGTTAGAAAAAAGAACATAATTACGTGGTACCAGGATTATGATTATTCCACGACAGACATTGCATTGGGCAAAAAAGGCATTTGATCGTAAAGCCACTCACCGGTTCAAACTGTCAATCCAAATCACCCAAGGTTTTACTCAAAACCAATCAAACAGATATTAAATTGCTCAAGTTGTATAAAAGAACTTTAGTGACAAACACAAACATACCTACATACGCATTACGCACTACCATCTAATAAAGATACACGAGATAATAATAATTGCACCAAAGAGATAATAATAATTTTAACTATTTTGTTCTACTTATTAGTTTCTTCTCACCAACAAACTAAAGTTTTTTAAAAAGCCAATAAAAAATAAGATTATATTTTTGATCAATCATAAGACGTAATGCTTTATATAGATTATTTGCCAACTCATTTTTCTTCCGTGACAAGGCTTGCTCTTCAATTGGGCTTTTGAAAAAATAATCTCATGTTCTGTGATAGTAAGCAATCACATCATGGATATGTAGCGTTACGTTTAGTTTTTGGGGATTATGAACATCGTAACTTGCTGATCGACCAGTGTTCACACAATATACAATGTATTATATATACATAATACAATAGTAAATACTGACATCAATTTGTATATAATATATTATATGACAATATGTTTAAATGTAGTGTAATAAGTCAATTTGTGTGTAGCCATTGTTAATAGACGATGGTAGCAGTAGTAAAGATTGCATTAGTTCCTTGCTTTCTCGCCTATCAGCTTTATTGAGTACTATTGATTACAATATAATGATTACAATATTCATAAACTGAAAGTTATTCGTTTTTGAAAGTAAATATAATGTATTAAGTTGACGGGTCTTTTCGGATCCTCCCGATCCACTAACGGTGTTTTTAGGTACCTCAAGCACCGGTCATCGTTCTCGTGGAACCCGTCGCTTGCTCGGCGAGTAAAATAACCCACAGACACAGCCCACTGAGTTTCTCGTCGGATCTTCTCAGTGGGTCGCGATTCCGATTCGGTGGTAGATTCTGCGAAGCACGGCTCTTGCTAGGGTTCGTGTTAGCAACGTCGTCGGGTTTGAAACCCGTGAGCTCACCTACTAGTTAAGGTTACGCTGATATGGTCTCTCTAGATCATCAGCTTAGGTAAGGAAAAAAAGTTGATGGACATTTTGATATTGTTTTTATGTTTTTATCATTCGGTTTATTCTTCGTTGATGGGAAGAATATGGGCCCATTAAAAACTCTTATGACCATTAAAACGAATCTAAAAGTTTGGCGCCGCTTAAATTAGAATAAATATAACATTAGAACAGGCATCACGAAGATTTCACTAAATTATCTCTTAAAAATTCGATGAAGATCATTATTTCTGTCCGAAAATAGACATGCGCCCACCCACATAATATAGTAAGCTGTCACCGTCGTAATGGATGCCGAATCTGAGGCCTGTACAATCAAATCGTGATTCAGATAGGGGCATATCATAAATACTAAGAGTTATTTTTCAGAATATACTTAGGTTTCTCTGAAAAAGATTTCAAGCTCTTGCTTGATATTATGGCGGTAGCCATCATATGATAGATATCATATCATACAAAAGATCTTCCACCGAGCGCGTGATATTGCTCGGTAGACCGATGGTCCGAATGTTGTTGTTCGGAACTTGCATATATACAAGCTTATCTTGAAAATGTCGTAAGCGAGATTCAGGTATCTGTCAAATTAATATCTTGCGTTGTATGATGGCTACCCGACACAATAGTATTAAATGTGATAGGAATTATCTTTGCAAACTAGAAACTGTTTTAAAATTGCAAGTTTTTCGTAATCCTCAGGAAAAATGAGGTGTAACTTTGTGGAGATCCATTTTAATTAAAAGGTTCTTCATACACAAGTTAGGTCAGATACGTTACGTATTGCACGCAAGAGCAACAAAGTTGTCGCAAGCATGCGTTTACTTCTTCTATTTATAAATATTGATCAGTCATTGGAAATACACAGGCATTAAAAGGAAAAAATATGAATATTATGAATAGTATTTTCTTTATTTAAGATACTTCTTTGGACGAAATATCAATGAAATCTTCAAATGCTTTTAGGATTAAATGGGAATTGGAATAAAACACAAAATTTAATATTAAAAATGATACAAAAATACTGAAGTTATCTTTCTGCCTCAGGTCAAAAAAGCGACACAAGACCTGCAATTGGGCTGTGTGACCGCAACCAACCAACTGATCACATTGTGAGTAACAATGATGCTCGTTTATACAAATAAAGTTCCGAAATAAACAATGGGAGGCTTTTTATTCAGAACCATGTAACCCGTATTGGAAATTATTACCCACAGACACAGCCCACTAAGTTTCTCGCCGGATCTTCTCAGTGGGTCGCGTTTCCGATCCGGTGGTAGATTCTGCGAAGCACTGCTCTTGCTAGGGTCAGTGCTAGCAATTCTCCGGTTTGAGCCCCGTGAGCTCACCTACACACGCTAGGGTAAGCTGATATAGCCTCTCAAGGCTATCAGCATAGGTAGGAAAAACAAAAAGGAAATTACAAGAGTAAACGTCGTAATAGATATATCAGTGGAAACTGTAGACGATGCTCTCAAGCTCATATTATAATTATTAAATATTTATTAACAGCACAAAAATTATGGTACGGTTATTTTTAGCCTGAACGGGTAGGTAGATATCACAATTTCTTTACGCAAAGCCATTAAAGAGAAAACTTCCAAGTTTTGTGAATTAAATTGCTACGATTGGGACTATCCAATCTGAAAATATTGTTAACAAACTGGGATCCGAAATAATGAATACGAGATATTATTGAATTTGTTAGATCATTATCCTATAGAAAACAAAAAAAATATACATTGTCTGTCTTAGAGGTTGCTCCAAAATTATTTTGTGTCCTTGAAACGTATGTAATTGTACTTAATTATTTTGTTACAGGTGACGCGCTGCGGAACATATATTAAAGCGGCTTTGCCGCTTTAAATGGACAAACGCAAGATGCTGCCAAAGAGAGCGCGCATGGATAGTATGCGGGGTCCTATTGCAAACGGACCCCTGCAATCAAGGTCAGTTTGTATATCTAATACTGGAAAACTTGACAATCAAATCAATCTAGTCCTTAATGAAATTTGAAACGAATCGATCCGAATAACAAGTTTTAATTTGATTAGATTATTGAAAATCAGAAGCGTTAAGATTGAATAGTGAGTTCGATTGCCAACTCATACCCATACCGGGCGGGCAATGTAACGGAGCGCGGCCGCCGCACTCAACAAACCGGTTTCCGCCTTTCGAGCTCACTCCACTTATTCTTTCCTCGTGCTAATCCTATTTGGTTTCCATCAAAACTTGGCCGAAGGGGTTGCGGCCCCTTTCCGCCCTTGGGGGTGAGGCCCCGGAGGCCTCTTTGTTTGCGAACAAATCTGTTTTCGTCTGCCCCCGGGAAAGTTTGTCGAAATTCTGAAAACTCCGGTCCCAGTCAGGAATTACTTTTCAGTTTCAACGTTCGAAACTTTGCTCGACAATAATAATAACTCCGTTTCGGTATGACGAAAGTTTAAATTATTAGTTTAATCCGACTGATGGTTTAATTATTCGGGACGGGTTCCGTAGGACGTTTTCCAAACTGCGATCACTTTAGCCTGCGCTATGATAACAAATACGTAGTAGCCACTTGTATTCCGATTTATTGTTGGTTTTTCATTGATCGTTGATTTTAAATTATTTTAGATTTTGTTCACTTATGATCAGTATTTAATAATTGTTGTTTTAATGTTAATTATTAGGTAACGTTTTCTTTTTCATTGACGGATTCATCAATTCAAAATGAATTTAATAATGTCACTTCGATAAAATCTGTTTTTATTTTTTCCTATCCAAATAGAATAAATAAATACCTTGAATCGACTCGAAATCCGTACAAAATATTTAATGAAACAACGTGAAAGTCGTTCACGTAATGTTTATCAAACAGCAACCTTGGCTCTTGTAAGTCGGTCGTCGACACCGACTCGGATTATGTGCGCGCATAAAATATACCTCCACACAATACAAGTGTACGTTGTTTATATTGTAATAAGGTGCTGCTGCTACTGTACAAGTTGCGATGCCAACGGGAATAAAATGATTATTTCGGTTGCATCTTTTCGTCAACGCTTATATGTTGAGAAATCGGATTAATTATTTAGTAAAATGTTTTTTTTTAAATGTTATTGCTGATGGGTGGACGACCTCATACCCCACCTGGTGTTAAGTGGTTACTGCAACCCATAGACATTTACAACGTAATTACCGTCACCCAACTTGAGACATGAGTTCTAAGTTGTCAGTATAGTTACAACGTCTTTCAAACCGAATATGAATAAGATGGGTAAAAGTGGGGATGGTTTTTTTTTTTCGACATATTATAACGATATTATTTATCAAAGACGAATACGCTTACAGGGTTTGCTTCGGTTACTGTTGTCTGGTTGGTTTTCGATAGTGATTATGACTACTGTACCACTGTGTCACTGTTTAATTCCCGGTCAGTGTCAGTATCTCTGTTTAAGATATACGATGCTCTGGGTGTTACGTATTCGTATTTCTGGAACCATTACAGAAAATTCTTATGTTAGGGCTGCGTTGATCAGGGAACATGAACAAGTGAAATATAGGTAGTAACTACTCTTCATCAAATGGTTCATAGGTTAGATAATTTTTAACGACAAAAATACCTATTATTTAACCATTATTATTTGGTTTTTTATTGTTGGGATAAGCTAATAGTCCTCGTTCGTAATCTATCTTTTATCAAATACTAGAATCGCTAATCGTTGTTATCAATGTGCCCAATCGTCATTCATTTGCCTAGTTTTACAGTTAGCTATATTTCGATTTTCTAAAACGCCCAATGACTTCGACAAAATTTTCGTTCAATTACACTCCAAAAAAACTTATCTAATGACGCACTCTGTTAAAATAATCAAATATGTATGTAAAAGTATTAAAATAAAGATCGACAACTCTCCTTATCAACAATAATTTCGGATTATTAGATAAAATTGGCATTTTTATTTCTTGGAAGTATTTAAATCGAACCGGTGCTTACCTGTTCGTGCCAAACACAATACCTTTGTTATCGGTAAAATGATTAAAATTGTTTATGTACCGCCATAAAAGTGTATCGTGAACTCAATGACAAGTTCTTTATCAAACGAGACTTGTAAAGAGTCCTGAGCGGTAGGCGGTGGCTTGGCTGTGTCCTTGACATTGTCAATGCTCATAACCGAGGGTGACAGGTCACCACGACGTGGTCCGTATGTTAGTTTGCATTCCGGAGCAATAAAAAAAAGTATAAAGATGATGAATGTAAATCGCGAACTGTGATCTGGTACGGTGAACTGTGTATCCGTTATTTCTTTCCAAGAATTTATCGCCTCGTACGCGATAAAAAATATCTTTATACTGTAAACACGTTAAGCGCAGTTTGTTTTTATGATCTTTAAGCATTTTTTAATTACTCGATAATGTTTAATATTTGGAATGCTTTCGTAGTAAAACTAAATTTGGTTTTTGAACTTTTTATCGGCTCTGACTGGGTTTGGTTAGTCGCTTATGGTTTGTAAGCGGTTTGTGTCGATGTTAGTAGTAAGCATGTTATCGTGAACTTTTTACGATCATGGACTGAAACCCAGCTTAGACTGTAGCGTTTTAAAACTTGGCCACACGGAACATCATAGGGTGTGACGTCATTTGGGGTTAAAATGTACGACAAGGTAACCGCATCTTAAGTATACAAAGCAATTAGTCACATGACGTTATTCTGTGTTGTCATTAGTGGGTTTTTTATTAGTAATTCTAACTCTAGATAGAGTAGATTTTAATAGGTCGTTACAACAGATGGGAGTATATATTTTGTCAACAATTACGGGCTTAGTACAAGAAGAATAATCGTCATTTTGAGTGAACTCGAAATTATTACTGCTTAAACTCAATTTAATATTCCACGATTAGTAAGCACATTTATATTTTTAAGAAAACAAGACAAAAATATCAAGCCATTTTACCGTGCAATCAGCGCAACGAAGTAACGAACTACTCGAGTAATATTGAATGAAACGCGCGGTGATAACCAAACCAACCCGGCTTATTGAATTATAACTCGTTACGGTACACGTTCAACTCCATTGTTGTAACCCCTTAGGTGCTTGGAATATTTTTTGTGATTACAACTTTGAATCGTGAATAGCATTCTGCGTTGTTCTATTAAATTGCGAGACGCGATAATTTTGTCGTGGTTGTTTCTCGTCATTTTAGTTGTTTTGTTATTGGCTTCATACTTTCATTATCATTGGTGTTAGGTGTAGATTTGAAGGTTGTATAATATCGTTATTTACTTAAGAAACGTATTGTCTAGAACATCACTACATAGTATAAAACAAAGTCGCTTTCTCTGTCCCTATACCTGTCTGTCCCTATGTATGCTTAAATCTTTAAAACTACGCAACGGATTTTGAGATTTTGATGCGGTTTTTTTTAATAGAAGATAGAGTGATTGAAGAGGAAGGTTTATATGTATAATACTATCGATTAAATAGTGGAGAAATCAATAATAAATTACAGCTTCCGAAGCGAAGCGAGGGCGGGTCGCTAGTTATTTTATAAAACACTAGCGGACCCGGCGAGCTTTGTTCCGCCACACGGTTTGTTTCAAACACATCAACCGGTCAACTTCAAAATTTAACCATATAACGTTTAGCTGTCAGTTGCGTTTTGTTATACCACGTTTTATGTCACGTCCCACGGGAATGTGATAAAAAATATCCTATGTCCTTCTCCTGGCTCTAAGCTACCTCCTCACTAATTTTCAGCCAAGTCAGTTGAGCCGTTCTTGAGTTATAAATGTTTTTTTTTTTTTTTTATTGCTTAGATGTGTGGACGAGCTCACAGCCCACCTGGTGTGAAGTGGTTACTGGAGCCCATAGACATCTACAACGTAAATGCGCCACACATCTTCAGATATAGTTCTAAGGTCTCAGTATAGTCACAACGGCTGCCCCACCCTTCAAACCGAAACGCATTACTGCTACGGCAGAAATAGGCGGGGCGGTGGTACCTACCCATGCGGACTCACAAGAGGTCCTACCACCAGTAATTACGCAAATTATAATTTTGCGGGTTTGATTTTTACTGCACGATGTTATTCCTTCACCGTGGAAGTCAATCGTGAACATTTGTTGAGTACGTATTTCATTAGAAAAATTGGTACCCGCCTAAGATTCGAACATCGGTGCATCGCTCAACACGAATGCACCGGACGGACGTCTTATCCCTTAGGCCACGACGACTTAAAAAGTGTATTGTATAGAATACTATAGTACATTATTTAATCTGTATTTTATAAAACATTTGAAAATAAGTGAGGTGCTACCAATTTTAGACTTTCGTATCTATTTATTTGTGTATAGTTCAGCAGACTTGCACTCCATACATAATTAAGTAGGTATGACGCATTATTTAAATGTAATGGACGTGGTTTTATATGTAAATTTATTCAATGTTCTTAGGTTGATTATGTTACTAAATAATACGATTATACAACGGCTGACTTTAAAATGTACATTTTGATTTATTTTTAATTAGCACCCAAAGTTGAAGTTTATCGGAGAATATAAAACACGGTTATAAATTTTAGGATGTTTTTTATTAGAACGTATATGTACGCAAAACAACTATTCCGTTAAATTATTAACATCACATCGTTATCGCTGTATCAGGCTATGGTAGAAATCGTGGCCAATATTTTCTAAGTCTTGTCAACGGTGATTTTTTTTATGATTGGTCGGGTTTGGCAGTCTGCTAGCTAGCAAGCGATGCAAGAAACGGTATATGGCATATTATAAGAAAAAAAAAATTAATCCTTAAAATGGTCACATCTAGAACATGTTAAAAACAATTACAATCTGATTGATAACTTGAATGAATACACACCTGATTGTGTCTCTAAATGCGACATTGTAATCGCCTGCCTATTTTTGCCGTGAAGCAGTAACGTGTTTCGGTTTGAAGTTAGGGTAGCCGTTGTACTGTTATAAGTGAGACCTTAGAACCCATCTCTGAAGGTGAGTGGCGGCATTTAAGTCGTAGATGTCTGTGGGCTCCAGTAACCACTTAACACCAGGTGGGCTGTGAGCTTGTCCACCCACTTATGCAATCTATATATACAAAAATGAATTGCTGTTCGTTAGTCTCGCTAAAACTCGAGAACGACTGGACAGATTTGGCTAATTTTGGTCTTGAACTATTTGTGGAAGTCCAGAGAATGTTTAAAAGGTAGATAAATATGAAAATGTTCGGAATGAAATAAAAATAACAATTTTGTTTTTCCTTTGATGTGTCCCCCGTCGGACGAATTCGTTTTGTTTGTTTTAAGTTTATTTTATACAAAAGCTTAGGTCTTTTATTTATCGATTGAGGCAATACGAAGTCTGCCGGGTCAGCTAGTAAAAAAATTATTAATAAATGTGTTTTTGTAATTTCCAGGCCACTCGTGGCCCTGCTGGACGGTCGGGATTGCACCGTCGAAATGCCGATCCTGAAAGACGTGGCGACGGTCGCCTTCTGCGACGCGCAGTCGACGTCCGAAATACACGAGAAGGTACTCAACGAAGCGGTCGGGGCCCTCATGTGGCACACCATTATACTAACCAAGGAGGATCTTGAGAAGTTCAAGGCGTTACGGATCATAGTACGCATCGGGTCAGGTGTCGATAATATCGACGTTAAAGCCGCCGGCGAATTAGGTGAGTTGCGCATAAATCTCTCTCTCTCTCTTCTTCATATTATACCTACTTACTTGTATGTAAATTGTGTTTTTGAATTAAATAACATGATGATTTTTTTAAATGGGATTTTATGTCCTGGTAACTAAGACCTTTAAGACATGTCTTATTTTAAATTATATTCTTATTTTTATGAAAAATGAGTGATATTGTGAATGAATGATAATATGGAGTGAAATGAAATGAAGATGATTAATTTGAGGCATTAATCAACTGAGATGAAATTAAATGAGATGCGATGAGATGATATGGGATGACATATAATCTCAGTAAAATGGTGGTCATTTACGGAGACTTTTCAGTGGGCTTTTTGGAGTACCCCGAGAAGTTACGTTCAGCGGCTTTGTTTCATTTTCCCAATTTGTGCACTTTCACAGATACTAAACAGTTAATGAACCACCATTATTACACATTTAAACCTGAAGAAACCCTATATAGACAAAATAAAACAAATCACACAACTTCACTCTCGTTGCGTTCCCGCCAAAAAGTCCAATAACATGATGATGATTCTTTATTTGAATAAATGACGTAACCAGTTAATTATTATGTGAATTAATATACTTAGTTTGTATTGACCGTCTTGTCTTGGTTGATTAATCCTCCCGATTCACTAACGGTGCTTCTAGGTACTTCAAGCACCGGTCACCGTTCTCGTCGAACCCGTCGCTTGCGACGAACGGCTCGACGAGTAAATTAACTCTCAGACACAGCCCACTGAGTTTCTCGCCGGATCTTCTCAGTGGGTCGCGCTTCCGATCCGGTGGTAGATTCTGCGAAGCACGGCTCTTGCTAGGGTTCGTGTTAGCATCGTCGTCAGGTTTGAGCCCCGTGAGCTCACCTACTAGTTAAGGTTCCGCTGGAATAGCCTCTCTAGGCTACCAGCTTAGGTAGGAAAAAAAAGAAGGTTGATTAAGCAACAGGATCTGACATGCCTGAAATGCTGTTGAACCCTTCGCATTGGATTAGATTAAGTCGTAAACTATCAAAAATGTTCAACGTTTAATACTGTGTATTTGTTAACGTTACAGGAATAGCGGTATGTAATGTTCCCGGGTACGGAGTCGAGGAGGTAGCCGACACCACGATGTGTCTCATATTGAATTTATATCGACGGACGTATTGGCTAGCCAATATGGTCAGAGAAGGAAAGAAATTTACAGGTGCGTTGTGTCAGTTATTCCGTAAGCAAATTTCACATGGAATGCGCTTTTGTTGAATTATTCAAATGAATTTGAGGGTTATTATGGGTTTATGAAATTGAAATAAATGTAAGAAAACTACGTGGTTGTGGAAGAAATAATGAAACGTTTTAGGATCACAATATCTCACTCGCATTTTATTGTCAGAAAAAAGTTAAGGCACACAGAATGTCAGCTTGACAAGTAGTACAACGCCCCAGGCGTAAGAAAAAGGAAACTAAAATGGCTGCATTCCATTTCTCTAACAATTAATTAAAAATATTAATTGGAAATTTATCACACGTGCACAATGCGAACGGGTTCCACGCTGCGGTAGTGATTCAATAAGAAATATAATTTGTAAAAAAAACCTTCGTACTCTTGGTGTAACATATTATCCTGTCTATTTGGGTACTAAGTAACGTGATACACAGGACAACTGTTAAATAATATAATTCTGGATGTTAGTGTGGCATAACGTGGGATACCTATGAATTTTGCAGTGAAACATTTTGCATAAAAGTCTTAGAAACGGTTAGTTCATTAACCTAGATATCGAGAATTAGAACTTTCATCTCATGTTAAAAAGCGACGGCATTAACGTTACCATTTGATTTTACTCTCAATTAACATCATCATCATCAGCCCACAGTCGCCCACTGCTGGCACATAGGCCTCTCCCAATCGACATCACAAACTCAATAAACAATATAAAAATAAAAGTTTAAAAAAACTAACAAAATACGCTTTTATAGAAAATCCAACTAAAAAATAGAAAATAAATTTTAATAAATTTGAATTAAAAATAGTGTAAGAAAAAATGATTTTATTGTAAAAAATCAGTCCTTAATAAGTATTCCAAGTTTCGTCGAAATTCACCAAAAATCATGTTCAAAGATTCCGTTACATACTAACATACATACGTCTGCAGCTAATAAAAACGTATTAAAAAGTAGCAGTGTATGTATACATCCAACGAGTGAGTAAGTCGACGGGCGTGTGGTACATTCCAGGGCCGGAGCAGGTGCGCGAGGCGGCGGCGGGGTGCGCGCGCATCCGCGGCGACACGCTCGGCATCGTGGGGCTCGGCCGGATCGGCTCGGCCGTGGCGCTGCGGGCCAAGGCGTTCGGCTTCAACGTCATATTCTACGACCCCTACCTGCCCGACGGCATCGAGAAGTCGCTGGGCCTCACCAGGGTCTACACGCTACAGGTGAGCCGCGCCACCACCACCCCAACACACCTACCGCCCACCAATTATGTTATTACAGATGTTGAAGTGAAACTTTTAATGCGACTTCCAACAAGGTTGTTTTATTTTTACCTAAGCTGATGGTCTTGAGAGACCGAGGAGATGGGAAGACCCGATAACCAATTGACATATTTTGGTTAATACCATCACTCTGACTATTTCTGTCGTCTTTTTGGCATAGGCACCCCCAAATCACTAGCAATGAAACCTAAAAGGTGTCTCTTGATTAGAGCCTCATGGATGATGCAACGTTTCAGGTCACATAACATAACAATGTATTTAGTATTAAAAACTATAAACACATTTCAATAGCAAAACGAGACAACAAGTAAATCAATTTTCTAGTACTGTTGTCAGTTTTTCATCTATACATATAAATGAAATTGGAGTGTCTGTTTGTAATATTGAAGTAACCGCTTTTTACTACATTCATATGAATATATATACGGTACATACACCAAAATAACATTTTTTACACTTTTTGTCTGTCTGTCTGTTTGTTCCGGCTAATCACGGGTAACATCGCGGGATTCAGCTATCAATAATAAAATTTAATGTTTCCGAAGCGAAGCGAGGGCGGGTCGCTAGTATATAATATAATTGGAAATTTCCAAGTTCGTCGTCCGATGTCCTGAAATTGATGAAATTTTCACAAACACATAGATACAGGTCAAGCTAATTACAACGCAAACTGGAGAATTTGGGAAAGGTATTTATGGTTTTTTAAAATGTATACATTTTCCGTTACAGGACTTATTATTCCAGAGTGACTGTGTCTCACTGCACTGCAGCTTAAACGAGCACAATCACCACCTCATCAACGAGTTCACCATCAAACAGATGCGTCCTGGTAAGCCATTTTAGCTTTAAATTGCTCATAAATAATAACGACGCTTGAAAGGCAAACGTGACTAAGCGACAATAACTGCTTTGTACATAAATGATAGGCAATAACCATATTCGATGCGCAAAAAAAACATATTTCTAGGTCTATTAAAATCATTTCAATCCTACAGCTACTAGCTAGATTCTACTACAGCTAGATTCGTTGAAATATTCGAAAAAAAAAAATTATTTTTACTGTAAAATTCACGCATTGTCGCTTAGTGACTTTTTATCTTTCAAGCGTCGATAATGAGCAGTGAATGGCTATTTGGTTTAAACGACATTTTTGAAACTTTAACAGGAGAGCCATTTAAAGTTTAAAATTTGGAAAAAATACCATAACAAAAAAAAATCTTCAACTATGATTTGAATGGAGTAAACTTAATTGAACTTCAATTAAAAGTATCGAACTGTTGATGCTAATACCAAATAAAACGGAACTTTAATTAAATGTCCCGTATTAAGCGAAATATCGCTTAAACTAAATAGCCTTTCACCCCTCGATATATACACTAATATTATAAAGCTGAAGAGTTTGTTTGTTTGAACGCACTAATCTTAGGTAATACTAGTCCGATTTTAAAAATTCTTTCAGTGTTAGATAGCCCATTTATTGAGGTAGGCTATAGGCTATATAACATCAAGAGACCCATACAAGTGGAGCACCAATAAAGAATGTTTCAAAATATTTTTAATTTCTACGTAAATGAAGTGGGGCGTAAAATTTAGCGCTATGCCAAAGTAAATATTCCACGCGGACGGAGTCGCGGGCAAAAGCTATATTTTATAAACTACAAAAAGTACACACTAAAGACATAGTAAAAGTATAACATTATCAAGACAGACTGAAATAATCTATTATCATTATTAAACTGATCAAATCAAACTGTAATAGTGTAGCTGAACAATTGTATTTATTGTAATGTAATTACAAAACGATGTTATTACTTGCATTGTTTACTTGTTCACAACACTATAAAGAAAATCGAAGTATCAGTAGCAGAAAGCATGTTATCGTTTGCTTTTTACGATCGTGGACTGAAACCCAGTTTAGACTGTAGCGTTTAAAGCTTGGCTACGCGGAACATCATACTGTGTGACGTCATTTGGGGCTAAAATGTACAACAATGCTGTGTTGTCATTAGTGGTTTTTTTATTATCAATTCTAACTAGATAGAGTAGATAGAGGCCGGTACAACAGATGGGACTATATATTTTGTCAACAATTATGGGCTTAGTACAAGTAGAATAATCGTCATTTTGAATGAACTCGAAATTATTACTGCTTAAACTGCTGCTGTTTATGTAAGTCAGCGTAAAAGTGGCCTACCACTTTTACGCTGACTGCTTCATTATTGTAGTTTGGTGTCTTTACAATTTCATCCAAGTTCCACTGCGTCTTCTATGTCTGGTGACGGTTCCTCTCGTATGTTCCAGGTGCGTTTCTGGTGAACACGGCGCGCGGCGGGCTGGTGGACGACGAGGGGCTCGCCGCCGCGCTCAAGCAGGGCCGCATCCGAGCCGCCGCGCTCGACGTGCACGAGAACGAACCCTTCAACGTCTTCCAGGTACGGAGCCAACGCATGGGCCGATCCGATCGTGCCTCTCTCTCACGCTCAGGAGGAACGTGACACTTTTTCGTGCGTGCAGCCGGTGTTCAGCCGATTTATAAGACGTTGTCATGTCAAAGCTCACGGCTAATATGTGGTTAGGTGTCTACTAATTTGCCTATAGAGATGTTAACATGATTGCCGCTACCCAACGGCTACCCAGTATCAAACACATATATAATATAAAAAAATAATTTAACTGTTTTATAATTAAAACCATACCCCGCAACTTCTCAACCTTTTTTCAACTCTAATCTCTATTAATTAATCATTCGCAAAATAAGCAATATTTAAATCACAAAACAGAGAGTAGAGCTCATCCATACTACCTGGAGCCACTGCGGTCATCCACAGTGCGTTTCCAGAGGTCTTTTCTGCCACGTACCGTCCGGCTTTGGAATGAGCTCCCCTCCACGGTGTTTCCCGAGCGCTGTGACATGTCCTTCTTCAAACGAGGCTTGTGGAGAGTATTAAGCGGTAGGCAGCGGCTTGACTCCGCACCTGGTATTGCTGAAGTTCATGGGCGACGGTAACCACTCCCCATCTGGTGGGCCGTACGCTCGTCTGCCTAAAGGGGAGTAAAAAAAAAACAAAAAAAACAGCTCTAGTATTTAGGGTGTCAATGCAATAGTAGATTGTTTCATCGTAACCACTAAGTGCAAATTAGGAATTATAAATGAGTGCACGCACGGGTAGCCACCACCACCCCGCCTATTTCTGCCCTGAAGTTGTAATGCATTTCGGTTTGAAGGGTGGAACAGCCGTTGTACTGTAAAAACTGAGACTTAGAAATAAGATAGAATTAAGATGAGTGACAGAATTTACGTTGTTGATGTCTATGGGCTCCGATGATCACTTAACGCCAGAAGTACCGTTAGCTCGTCCATACATTTAAACAATAAAAAAGTAAAGATTAAACATTTCTATCTTGTTTGTCCACCTCTAATGTAGATAATAAGTGCTGTAGACATGTCCTTACGGATCTATCAGATCCATTAACCTCAGCACCGGACACCTTCAGCTCTAGCACTAGGAAGATTCCTTAGGGATCCCGGTAATCGTACTCGTCGAACCCAGCAAAGAGCTCGACGTGCAACCTAACCCATACATCAATCAACCTGCTGAGATTCTCGCTTTCTTCTCAGCGGGTCGCGATTCCGATCTGGTAGTAGATTAATCCGCGAAACAGCTGCTCTTGAGTTGTTGTTAGGTCTCAAATCCCACCCCTCTTGCCTGAGTGAGCCTTTGCTCGCCCATTGGTTTTGGTGAAACTGACTTCTGGGCCACTATTATCTTTCATTCCTAAAAAAACATAACTACGCTCCCATACAGCTATAGTCGATGATTATATTATAATGATTCAATATTCTGTTGAACTAATTTCTTGGTGTTGTAGGCTTATTTGAACGGTCACCGACCGACATTGTCCCTGTCAACCGCGTCAGCACTGACGTGTTCTGTACTTTTGCAGCAGGGTCCGCTGAAAGACGCTCCGAACCTGCTGTGCACGCCGCACGCGGCCTTCTACTCGGACGCGTCCGCACAGGAGCTGCGCGAGATGGCCGCCTCGGAGATCCGCCGCGCCATCGTCGGCCGCATCCCCGACTGTCTGCGGAACTGCGTCAATAAGGTGCGCCCACCGCTTGTGTCGATTGAGCTCCTCATCAACTGGAGCCGGTCATCGTTCGTAAATTAACCCACAGACACAGCCCTCTGAGTTTCTCGCCGGATCTTCTCAGTGGGTCGCGTTTCCGATCCGGTGGTAGATTCTGCGAAGCACGGCTCTTGCTAGGGGGCAGTGTTAGCAACGAAGGGGGGAAAAGGGACAAAATACAGCGTATAAAATAAAATACTGATTTCTTTCACCATTAGCTAGCACTGGTAGCGTAGATTAATATTATTAATACGTTTTCAACTTAAACACATATTCATGCTAATTTCAAAATTTCGGAATAAATATTACAATAAATATGAAGTTCCGGTATTTTGGAGGCATATCCATATTATCCTCTACGTTTGAAATCAAAGACCTTACCTTACCCTAAATCAATCTACCTACTCCGACCTCTAGTTATTATATATAATTTACTGGTGATAGGATCTCTTGTGAGGCCGCGCGGGTATGTACCACCACCCCATCTATTTCTGCCGTGAAGCAGTAATGCGTTTCGGTTTGAAGGGCGGAGCAGCCGTTGTAACTATACTGAGACCTTAGAACTTATATCTCAAGATGCTTGGCGCATTTCCGTCGTATATATCTATGGGCTCTAGTAACCAATTAACACCAGGTGGGCTGTGAGCTCGTTCAGCAATCTAAGCAATAAAAAAAAGTTTATAACTTACAAAAGAACGAAGAAAGAGAGGAAAGGGAGGTGTCGCGCGTTGTGTCACGAGCAGACAAAGCAGATCTTTTCATATTGAGATTCATTAACACTAAACATACCATAACGGGTCAAATGACCCATTTTGAAACTTTGTATTAAAAATGCACATATCATCTTATTGCTTTTGCACAGTTGACTTCATGACTTTTTCTTACGAATTAATCAACAGTTATCATACTTTTTTTTGATGTTTCGTTTTGCTTATTTTGAGTAATACTTGTCTTATAGGTACTGTTATCTACCCGCTGTGGTTGAAATAGGTGCCGGTAAGTGTTGGTATGATTAGTGTTAATGTGTGTGTAAAGTCTCGGAAAACGAAGCCGGTTTACTTATAGTAAAGGTGTGTATGTGTTTATTGTGCAGGACTACTTCATGGCGGGAACGGGCGGCGTGGTGGGCGGAGTGGTGGGCGGCGTGGTGGGCGGCGTGGTGGGCGGCGTGGTGTCGGGGTCGGGCGGCGCGGGCGGCGCGTACGGCGAGGGCATCAACGGCGGGTACTACGGCGCCGCGCAGGCCGCGCACTCCACCACCGCCGTGCACGAGCCCGCCGCGCACGCCGCGCAGCCGCCGCCCGCGCAGCCCGCGCCGCAGCAGCAGCCGCCCATCACGCTGGTCAGTGCCATCTGCATGCATACCTCTTTTAAACTCATTATTATAAACTAACTAGCTGACCCGGCAGACTTCGTAGTGCTGCAATCGACATCAAAGGAAAATCAACATTGTTATTTTTATTTAATTCCGAGCATTTTCATATTTACCTACCTTTTAAATCTTCTCTGGACTTCCACAAATAATTCAAGACCAAAATTAGCCAAATCAGTCCAGCCGTTCTCGAGTTTTAGCGAGACTAACGAAAAGCAATTCATTTTTATATAATATATAGATATATAAATCTACAGTGGTTTTTACGGATGTTCCGTTATAACTACTGAACCATGTATCCGGTTGACTTGAAATTTTGTATCCATGTAGAAAATACACATGTACTTAATGGATAGGCTAATATTTATGAGCGTTGGACTCCTTAATAATAATAACAGTAAATAATAATGTCAATTTTAAATGCCCAGTGAAGCAGACGGGTACAGCTAGTTATAAACTAAATTTAAAAAAACAGCAGAATTATTCTTTTTCTAATTGATATTGGATAATATTCGGAATATGAAAAGAAACTAACTCTGTGTACACACTAGGTGGCAGCGCTTTATAAATATGAATTGTAATTGAGTGTTCTTGCTGTGTAATTGAAGAGAATAAATAAGTTTGTATATTGTATGTACTGTGTCTAATTAAATTGCTTTTTAAACACGATTGTAATTTTTTCTTTGTTAGTTTCTTCTGAACTTTTAGAGTTTCTTCGGCCCATAACCTATTCGGTTATTTTTGGTTGAAAAACAATTTAATTAGAATTAGTACAATATACAAACTTATTTATTCTCTTCAATAACACAACAAGAACACTCCGTTACAATCCATATTTATAAAAAAAGAATTTAATGAGAAACAGTACAATATACAAACTAACTAATTTTCACCTTCAATCACACAGCAAGGACATTCAATTACAAACCATATTATAAAGTGCTAACCATATTATAAAGTTTAAAGTTTCTTAACGTTATTTTATCGAATAGAAAAATAAAGAGAAACATTTTTGTGTTGCAGCCCATAAACACGACGGACCCGGCCAACCACCAGATCCCCAAGCAGGAGAGCTCGGACGTGCACTAGACGGGGGCGGAGGCGCCGACAATAGTTTAACCGGGGCGGAGGCTCGCCGCCCGCACTCCTCACACTATTCTATTTCTACTTAATTCGCGTTGTATGTAGCTTGATGTCTCGCGGTACTCCGGCGGCGACGCCTCTATGACAATAAAGTGTTTGACTGTTGAGGCGTCCCTCCCGGGAAGACGAACACCTACACATATATATATATCGGACGGGACCTTGTGTGTGTGATTGTAAACAGTGCGGTTCTACGAGATTCGTTTGTTAATTATATAGGTGATATATATAGATTTGTGTTTCCAGCGACGCGTCTTGAATGTGTTGTGTCGGTCTAGCGTACACATATATACATATACATACATACATATATATAGTATAGTTTTTGTTCTGGCGTATATATATTATATATCCATAGCTTTGTACAGTCACCGGGTAACAAGAGCCCAGTCTGCGCTCACGTGCGACTGTCGCCGCTCGTGTGTACAGATTGCAATTTAATATAAATATAATTTTGAATTAAAATTTCACGAGACGAACAAATATTGTTTGGTACTGAAGGCGGAATCGAAATTGGATTTATTATTGTTTCTCATACGCCCCGGAACGATCCTAAGCGTTTGCAAAAATGTTTGTATACATATTACGTAATACCAAAATTAACTCTTAGACAAAATTGCAAGTTCTACTATCATCGTCTGATATTTTATTTCTAAACGGTTTATGTAGTGTTTTTAGTCTTAAAAAAAACGTGTATTAAAATTTTTAAACGTAAGAAGAAAAGACTGGTAGTACAGTTGTCCGGGGACACGCCGGGCTGGAGGACTATCATCACATTTACAAGGGACGCAGTACACAGAGGAGGTCAAATATTTTTTTAATTTTTTTTTTTTGTGGAACTTACAAAAATCATGCTTTCATTTGATTATTTTTCTTTTCTAAATAGACTTAAGTGATTATAAAATAAATAAATAAAAAAAAAACGATTTGTAAATGAATGAAGAAAACACCATTGAGATAATGAAAATATAAATAAAAAGTAATTAGTACCGAAACTCGATAGCGGGGCGCTTCCCCCATTCCAGAAACGTTCGGAATAATGTGAGAAAATTGCTATTTAAAAATTTAGTATTTACTTACAGTTTAGTTTAATGACAAAAATAAAACAATGTGTATATTTTATGAGAAAGTGAAAAGTTCTTAAATAAAACTATTGTTTTCGGATTAATTAAAAAAAAAACATATTGTGTTTTATTTATGATATCCCTTCATGTATGCGGCCAAAATAAAGATGCGTAAAAGAAAGAAATATTCTGAAATATTTGTATAGTGAAGTGGACGTGCAGTGAATATATCGCTATTTCTTTCTTATGCTCGCACCAGTATGATGACGGTTTTTTAGGTGGGTGAACGAGCTCACAATCCACCCGGTGTTAAGTGTTTATTGGAGCCCATACACAACTACAAAGTAAATGCGCCGCCCACCTTGAACTTATATATATATAAGTTCTAAGGTCTCAGTATAGTTATTATGCACTATTATTATTATTATTAGACGTCATTATGCCTTGAGTGTGCCTTAGGTTTATACACTATCAAATAAAAAAAAGTGTCGAGGTAGAAAGTTCTCGATAACATTTTGAGCAAACTCTAAAAAAAATGGCACAGAATTGCACAGAGCGGGCAACATTTAAACGTGGTACCTAGAATCGAGTGATTGCCAGTGACTGACTTCAGATCCAGCGTCTGAAACCGATTCGCTACTTCAAATAAACCATAGACCTATATATTAAGGACACGACATATTGTTCTATACGTACAATTGCTTATATAAATAGCACCCATTTTGAAGGCACATACATAAACATATATCTATCTCGTTCTTACTCAGCACTTTAACTCGCAGGAAAACAATATAACAGTATTTCAGTGCGTACATAAAATGAAACATGAATATACGTAAATATCTCCGTCTCCGTCTAATGAGGCCGAAAATCCGCCATGTTTAGCGCGCCAAATGTCATTGTCACGTCAGTTCGGCCGTCTGTTTTGGGTTGTACATTATTTATTGACTATGATATCGATTTAATATGATTGATTATATAAAATTTCATAATTTATCATGCTTAAAACATACAAAAATAATAATTAAAACGTATTTTATAGGATCTCAAGAAAGTCGATGCCCTAAAACTATTATCTATATGTATTTAAATTCATTATGGAGCCCTCATCCGAAAAATCCATTTTTCGGTCGGAATCTATTGATCATGACACTAATCATAAATACCACTTTAAAATATGTCATCAAAACATATTTAGACATTCTGTTTAGATATTTCGGGAAAAAGGCTACCGACAAAATCTCTTCGGAACTATTTAAATAAAATAGTTTTATTCCGCAGTGAGTAAAACACTATTGTAAATTTGTTAAATATTTAATAATTAAGTGATTTTAGAGAGGAAGTCACAAGGAATGACGTTTGTAATTAATGAATAAATGTTCTGTAGGTGTTTTTTTTTCACGCGGTCCCTTGATAAGTTTAAAATTTGAATCACTCTCAAGCGAAAGTGATTCAAATGGTGCGGCGCACCTTCCTTGGGGTGCGCTGCGGTAGTATGTTACGGACTTTAGAGTCAGCAAAACAATTAAAATAGATTGTAATAGTCTAAGAAAAACACGTACTCAAAATACGATAACATTTAGCATGGGCTGATGGCTTTGAACTACGCCATATCTTTATGTTTTGCGACAAACGACAACTTTATAAAATCAGTGTAGCAACTTTTAAAAATCATCATATCGTTTACTTGGCAAATTCGAAGGACGAACTTGTCTTAGATTTCACCCATCTAAATCATATCATATTTGCACATAACAATATACCTACTTACTTCAACTTAAAGTATAAATTCTACAAATAAATAATACTCAACAATATTTAAAATAAAATGAGCCAAGAACGTTTATCGATAAAACCTGATAACATTGAAATCATTTGTACAGCACTAAAGCCGCCATGTTTTGTGGCCAGATGACGTCACAGTGGCACGAAATTTTGGTTGACGTTTCATTTCCATAGGTTTCCTACTTCATTGAAATAAACGCATCGTACACTACAAAACTACTTTCTTTCTAGAATAGTCTTAAAGCAAAGGGGTCATGGACTGAGTGTCACTTGTTTGAAATAATACAAGTAAAATGTAATATAAATTTAATAAAAATATTTTAACACTAGAAAACATTCCAACTAAAATTATCACAATAACAATCTGATATTTAACATAAAAACATTTGGTCCAAGAGATCAGACACACCTTCAATACAGATGCCCCTAAACTAATTAATTTTGGCATTTCGTTACATGAATAAAGGGTACAAAACATGTTTAATAAATAACATTAACTGTATACATGCTGTGCCCGTGACATTATCATTGTCCATGATTACTATATTATTATATTTTAACAGATTTCATGATTCCAGACGAAGCTTAGTGCTAAAATAAATGTACATAGATGTAGAACATTTTGTATGAAATGGAACAGTGATGTGGCTACAAGAAGCTCCTGACACTCCATCTGCATTTTACATTCGGCTTAAGTCATTGAGAGTACGAATGTGATTAAGATTAGGATAGTTCGATTTATCCTATAAATGAGGAAAACTGGCTTACTTAGTTTAATTTTTCATTCCCGACTGTCTACAAAAGTTTGGTTTATGGACGATCGCCATTAACAAGTATTTTTAAAACGGGCAACATTAATTGCGATTTTTGAAAGTTTCCTCAATCTATTAATGTCATGGAAGGCTCGAAAAATACCAATAGAGACAATAAATAATTCACGACAAGACAATGAATGATGACAATTAAGAATTAATGATTTTCGAATTATGAAATCGGCGCAGCAGGAGTTGTGACGGGCGTCGGAACTTTTAATCTTCTCGCTTCGTCTGCGTCGAGTGCCCGCTTCAACTCGTAGTATTTCTGTTTGTACGATTGAAGATCCGCGTTCAAACGGTCTAATTCCAGACGAAGGTCTGTCGCTTGTTTCTCGCGCATGCTTAGTTCTTGAATGAAACAAAATCTATATATTAATACGTGAAGCAAAAACTTTGTATCCCTTTTTACAAAAATTGCGCGGACGGAGGAGTATGAAATTTTCCACACTTATAGAGAATATAGAGAAGAAGTGCACAATGCTAATATTTTTTTTAAATAATGCATAAAAGATACTTTAAATCAATAAAGAAAACATTACACACACTATATACCATGTATTTGACGCACACACGCATGCATACTATTTATTGTCAAACTTTTGCTCTTGACGTCTGTTGTCAAATTGAGAATAGATTAAATATTGTTTGTCTTTATTAAAAAAAATATAGTGTACCCTTGGCGAAATTTGTGATTATAGAAGTATAAAATACAATCATAATAGTGTACAAACTTACCATTCCAATTAATTATAGTCGAGTTTCGACTACTGCGGAACCTCTAGTATAAGTAATAAGGTCTCATTAAAAACGCAATGTGACCTAGGGATGGTAACATTATTTAATCTTTTGTATTTGCACTCAATAAGATTGAAATAAAATCAACATAACACACGCTTTACATGTATTAGACAAGAACAGATTTAATGGCAAAAAAATATAGTGTAAATTTTTGTAATTTTTAGAAGCTTTTGTGACTGTGTAGCTTTCAATGGAAGAAAGTAAAGAGTAAAAAAATATAACCATAATTGCTAATGAAATTTAGACCAGTCCTTAATTTCATAATCATTGTAAAATTGTATTTCCTTATCGTTCCGCACATATTGCATTTGAAAATTCTAGCTTGGAGCCATATAATATGGAATACGGAATCTATATTATCATTTACATAATTTAGCTAAAGCAAAATCAAATAACACCGCATGTCTTAATTCCGAGACCACGTATGATTTTGACTGAAACAAATTAGGCCTTCAAACTTACCAGCAATGAGACACTTCATTTTAGATGTTCGCTGAGCCAGCGCCCTCTGTGTTCTGTTTAATGTTTGCTGAAAATAAAGTTAAAACTAGTGTTCGCCCAACGATCGATTTTTTTTCCTACCTAAGCTGAGAGTCTTGAGGAGCTACTTCAGCGTAACCTTAACTAGTAGGTGAGCTCACGGGGCTCAAAACTGACGACGTTGCTAACACGAACCTTAGCAAGAGCCGTGCTTCGCAGAATCTACCACCGGATCGGAAACGCGGCCCACTGAGAAGATCCGGCGAGAAACTCGGTGGGCGTCGACCATAACCACCGAGAGATCAAGGTGTAGTTTTTTTTATACAATAATTATTTTCTTTAGTTTCATTATTGAAATTTCTTGCCGTGGTGTCATCAATAATATGACGAATATATTACATCGATACAAAACAAACAAACTTAAAAGAAATCCGGTAAACAAACAGAGGAGAAAATGGTTCTTAACTGTGTTTATTTTATGCCTGTTTACATAATTTAAGCATTATTCTCAAGTGTGTTGTGCAGTACGAATTTCCCCAGACATATCGGTACCTGCCTTCAGTATTTCAACATCGGCATGTTCTCATCCTTTGTTATAAACCCGCCTTATCCTTTAGGCCAAGTCGACTCTCAATGTGTTTTGAATGTTGATACAAAGCCATGCTTTTGTTTCGGGGCAATTATTTCCCGTTTCAACTTTAGTAACGGTCTTTTGACGCAAGTTTTATCGACAACAACCGCCAAATAAGAACGTTGGATTAGCGAAATAATAAAAACAAAAAAAACTATCTCAAGGTCCCTTAATGCATAGGTTCGGTCGAAAATCGTATGATGATCACTTTATAAATAGAGAATAGGCATATAAATTACAATATCAAAGAGTTGCCGCGTGGACATTAATAATTTGATTTTCGGCAAATGGCAGTCATTAATTTTTATTTAAGACTATTACGATTACATATTTAATCGTTGCATATAAAAAAAAAATGTTTTTATTTATTTATTTTTTAATTCGCTTTTTTTAAGCTTTACCTATCTATGAAATGGGATCGTTCAAAGATTAATTTTACCTAACTTGAAGACGTAGGATAATATGAAAATTTGTATACGTGTCCAGGACCGAGGGAAAAACGAATGGCCTTATTACTTTGGCCTTTGGCCACGGTGAAGGAATAACATCGTGTAATAAAAATCAAACCCGCAAAATTATAATTTGCATAATTACTGGTGGAAGGACCTCTTGTGAGTCCGCGCGGGTAGGTACCACCACCCTGCCTATTTCTGCCGTGAAGCAGTAATTCGTTTCGGTTTGAAGGGTGGGGCAGCCGTTGTAACTATACTTGAGACTTTAGAACTTATATCTCAAGGTGGGTGGCGTATTTGCGTTGTAGGTGTCTATGGGCTCCAGTAACCACTTAACACCAGGTAGGCTGTGAGCTCGTCCACTCATTTAAGGACAAAAATAATAATAATAAAAATTACGTTTCCTTCGTTTTTTGGCGGTGTTAAATATCTGTCCGCAAATAAATAGAAAATAAGATAGTGAGATAGCTTATGAGATGTTGCACCTGTATTTCCGGACTAGGCTGCAGTGCCAGCATGTCCTTGACGGCAGAATATAAATTCCTGGTCTCTTTCAGTTCGCGATCTTTCAGTACCAACATTTCGCTTTGGGCTAATACCTTCCTGCAAATTGATACAAGAACAAAATTATATTGAGTAAAACGTAACCTGATCCAGTAGGCCGCTAGGTATGTTATAAAGTACATAGAAATACCTGCACTAGATTTTCAGATCTAAACGCGAATATATTTCTTCAATTCGATCTTTAAAAAATGTGACTTTTTTAAATTTTTACTTTAAACACAATTTTATGGATGGACATATTTATAAATAATACAGTAACAGATTAGTTATTCCCAAAATTATCGTTAAGTAGAGGGTCATTATGATGCGCTTATGTCTCATTCGATCGTGTGCTCATGGTTATCGCCACTTAAGAATATAAAGCACAATAGACTTCAGTGCCTTCAGCTCACGACCCTTTATAAACTTCGTTTGACGAAGTAATGTCACATCACTAATGAGCACTGACGGCTAGCACTATAAGGGCTAATTTTAGGACCCGATGCTACGTGGAAATAAAGATCTATGTAAAAATCATTGTGGACAAGGGCAAAGGTTCTAGATAATAGCGATGAACTTTGCTCCAGCTGTGGGTAATTTATAAGGATGACGGGATTATCGAAAACAATTCCTCCGAAAAAATCTTACAGAGACATCCGAGACAAGTTCTGCAAGTCGTTAGATTCTAAAAATACCTATATGAATACGCGAAAATCAATTTTTAGGAACTTAATTAACTTGGCACAGTGAATATACACCGCGCGGGATTCAAGAGTCCGACGTCAGAAATCATATTTCGACATCTCTCTCTCTCTCTGCTCTTACCCCGATATCAGTTTTTCGAGCAACATCTAGAATCTTCTGTCATAGTCTCTGAAGAACCTTGAAAAGCGTTGGATGTCGATAAGTACATGATATGCCCAAGTATTTCCGGTGTCATCGCTTTAATGATTGATTAAGTATGAATAATTTAACATTCTATCAAACTGATGAGCTAGTTATTTAATAGCTTTTTTATTAGTTCTTAATTCAATATAATTCTATGCATAGTTTAATCTAAATAGCAATATATTATTCATAGAATTAAATGTAAATTTATTAGAGGTGAAAAATTATATAAATATGTCAAAGTATCTAAATGTCAAATGTCAATCATTATCATATTATGAGTCAAAGGAAAATGTTTATTTGGGATTAGAACACTGATATAATTCTAATTATTGAAATAAAAAAAAAAAAAACACTTAAGAGCCAACAATAAAACAAAACAAAACAAAACATGACCTCTAAATCGAGAAAAAAAACCCAAGTGTGTTACATCTAGTACCTACGCATGTATCGGAAGTTTACTACTCTATTGTTAGTCTAATCTCATTATTTATTACAAAAAATCATGAAATATATGAATTGCAAAAAAAAAACGCAAAAAGTTTGTTTCCGTTAAAATTTGCATAATAATATAATAGTATTTATGTTTTATTGTTATTAGCTTCCAAGTATTATTTCGTATGCCTGTCGGTTTCAGTCTACTGCACCAACCAACGCAGGTACCTGCCTAAGTGCCCAATATATTATATAAACAGAGCTCTTTCTTATTGTCATAAATTTTTATGTACTGATCTTGTATAAGTTTCAATTAAACTTGTGTGTAAGAAAGAAAATATGTACTTCATATTATTATATTTGGAAAGCGCGAGTCCTGAGCTTGTTTTTTTAAGGAGGGAAAGAAGTAATCCTTCCTTCCTTGTTTAAAAAATATAAACTAAACTAAACTAAATAATTACACAACTTTAATATTGATAGCAAAATAAACTTGTTAGATTCCAAGACGGTAACACAAGCAGCACAGCCCGCACTGAGTGAACAAAAAAAAAACAAATATTAAAACAAATAACAGAATGACATAAAAATTCACATTTTAGATGTTTTTAAAAGGCAATGTCGTGTTTTCCTTTTCACAATCTCTCATAAATAACTCTTTTTATTTAAATTAATATTCCGACTTTCCATTTGAAAAAATAACGAAAATCTTAAGCTGTAGGTATATTTGAGAGGAAAACTTCATCGTCGTAGATATGCTTGAGAAAGCTCAAAAAAAATCACTCGTGTGTGGCGGTCGGGTACAAAAACCCGTAAATATAAACGCGCGTGCATCCTTTCCTTAATATATAATATTCACAGATTATGCATCAAGTAAAAAATACCTATTTGTTATCTACAAACGAATAGATCAAGGAAATATGAAAATTTTCATTTACATAAATTTATTTATAGGAAGATTAATGTTCAAAAAATATGTCAATAGTTGCAAGTTTTTTTTAATTTTATTTTGCATTAATAAATCAGTGGGAATCGATGCGTGATTAAAAATCCGATACATTTTAATGACTTCGATTGAGTGCTTGATTAAAAAAAAGTGAGGAAAACATGGTTTTTAAAATTTTCTATACGTTGTATTAAAATTATAAAATTTCAAACATAGCGAACATATATTAACCACATACAATCGCAAAAATAATAAAAAATATTTTCACTGTCTACGTGCATTTAGAAATGCCAAAAAAAAATCAAATTAACAAATCTTTAAGATTATCAACCTTTTATTGAACAAAATATATAGGAAGATTAAATAAATTAACGAATAACTTTCATTGATAGAGCATAAATTCTCCCAAAATATTATTCCATAGATAATTCTCATGGAAAAAAAAAAAAAAATGAAAAAGAATCACAAGACAATTAAAAAAAAAACAATGATTTCCAGTCAACACAGCGCGTCGATAAGTTAAATGACGGAATTAAACCTCCAATTATCGAAAGACGAAGGATGCTTAATTAACAAATACAATAGTCTAAATTTATTAACCGCGACCTCTGATTCCTTTGCAACGATAAATTACCTCTTGTCGTAAAAGAATAATTATAATTGTTTCGAAATTGTATTGTGACGTCACGGCTAATGGTAATGTGCATCGTGAGCCACCACCGGTAGTTACCATTGTTCTGTTTATTTCTGCCACGAAGCAGTCATGCGCTTAAAGACATCAGTTAAACAATACAATTAAGGATTCGAACTCATAATATGTAATTTAAAAGATTATCTCCCACTTTAAAAACTTTGAAAATCTCACAATTGTATTTAACTCACAAACGATTAAACAATAAAATCTGCGGCCTCATGTCTCAAGGTGGGTGGCGGCGCTAACGTCGTGATGTCTATGGGCTCCACTAAACACCGGATAAACAAAGAGCTCGCTCACCCAACTATGCAATGACTTTTTCCCTAATTAATTATTGGTAATCTATGGGGCTATTCCAACTTCGCGTAAACCGGTAGGTGAGCTCACGGGCTCAACCTGAGAGAATTGCTAACACTGGTCCTAGCAAGAGCAGTGCTTCGCAGAATCTACCACCGGCAGCGTTATCACGTATTTCGCAGATAATTAGCAGAAGACAAATATTGTGCAAATATTGCTGTCAACTGTCAATTTCGTATTACGGACTTACAACAAAAAAGCAGATCGCGGACCATCACTAGTGCTGCCTCTGCAGAGCGATCGGAATCGCGACCCACTGCGAAGATCCGGCGAGAAACTCAGTAGTTGTGTCTATGGGCTAGTTCACTCGTCGAACTTTTCGTAGTCCACGAGTTCGACGAGAACGGTGACCGGTGCTTGAAGAGCCTAAAACCACCGAAAGTGCATTGCGAGGGACCTGACAATAAAAAAAAACAACAAATTCGGAGGCAGCAACACAGTAGAGCAGAAGCATTTATATGTCGTTTATCTTTTGTATATCAAGTTGAAGGAACCCGCTCCTCCCCACGACCTTTCACGGCTGGAGTCCCCGCAAGGCTCTGTCCTATCGCCCCTCCTATTTAGTTTATTCGTCAACGATATTCCCCGGTCGCCCCCGACCCAGTTAGCTTTATTCGCCGACGACACAACTGTTTACTATTCGAGTAGAAACAAGTCCCTAATCGCGAGGAAGCTTCAGAGCGCAGCCGTAGGCATAGGACAGTGGTTCCGAAAATGGCGCATAGACATCAACCCAGCGAAAAGCACTGCGGTGCTATTTCAATGGGGAAACTTCACACGGATTTCCTCCCGGATTAGGAGGAGGAATCTCACACCCCCGATTACCCTCTTTAGACAACCCATACCGTGGGCCAGGAAGGTCAAGTACCTGGGCGCCACCCTGAATGCATCGATGACATTCCGACCCCATATAAAATCAGTCCGCAATCGTGCTGCTTTTATTCTTAGCAGACTCTACCCCGTGATCTGTAAGCGGAGTAAAATGTCCCTTCGGAACAACGTGACACCTTACAAAAACTGCATAAGGCCCATCATGATTTACGCGAGTGTGGTGTTCGCTGCCACGGCCCGCACACAAATAGACACCCTCCAATCCCTACAGTTCCTGCTTTTGCAGGTTAGCCGTTGGAGCTCCGTAGACCTACACGACGACCTGGGCCTCGAATCAATCCGGAAATACATGAAGTCAGCATCGGAACGTTACTTCGATAAGGCTATGCGTCATGATAATCGCTTTATCGTTGCCGCCGCTGACTACTCGTCGAATCCTGATCACGCAGGAGTCAGTCACCGTCGACGCCCTAGACATGTCCTTACAGATCTATCAGACCCAATAACCTTTGCATTAGACGTCTTCAGCTTTAACACTAGGAGCAGGCTTAGGTGAAACGGGAAAGCCCTACGGGCCACCAGCAATCCTTCAATCCTAAAAAAAAATAGAGCAGAAGCATTTGTGTGTCGTTTATTAAAATCAAGTGAGAAATGATACCTAAGTCGGTGTCTGTTCAAATAATAGCCTAAGCTCAATAGACTAAGTTTATTTTCCTTATTTGACGTAAGTATACTAAGACGTCAAGGTAATTAAATTACTTAAAGTGGAAAAAACCTAAAAAAAGTTCCGGTTCGATATAGATTAACCGCTATTCCGATGCAGACTTCGACTAATGACTCACGGTACGCGATCACTGCACTTAAGCTATGCTGTGTCCTTAGTGCGAGTTTTTTAACGTTCTGTAGCGTAAAAGTTAATCCAACTTTGTATGCAGTTGGAGCAGCGCCCCTAGCGGCAAACGTAGGAACACAATCCCATTCCATACAAATATGAGCTAACTTTTACGCTATCGAGAACGTTAAAAAACTCGCACTAAGCACACTGAGCTGCTCCACAAAGTAATCTGTCCAATTAAAGAAACAACCTTTTCACAATTACTTTGCGACATTTCAAGCGCCATATTTTATTATGTAATCTATAATGGCGCGAGAAATTCAATAGAAAAAAAGTTTGAACATGTAAGATCATATGCGAGAATAAAAACTAGTTAATAGAGGTAAAATAAAGGAAACAAACTTACGAAAAAAATAAATATTACATATAAAAATAGAAACGACATTTATAAAGTTCACATTTATTGGAACGAAATGCTATCCAAATATTTAGTTTTTTTAAAACGTCAATGGTTTTCTCGTTCACACCAATTTATAGATATATTGGTTTTAGACGAATCGGCGAGTAAATATGGACAAATCGTTATCGGGTATCGAGGAATTCAGCGCGTCAATGCACGCGGAGTGATCAACGAAGATTTGTATATTATGACGTCAACCATGATTCACTTAACAAATGCCGCGTTCCCCAAGCTAGGACTTTTCTTAATTTCAAGAATTTATTGTACATTCATCGGTTCGTGTCAATTGCATAGTCAATATTATAAACACACGAAATAAAATTTTACTTCAAAAGACAGTAGATATCAATTGGTTTTTTTATTTGCCTTAATGGATGAAGAAAAATTGGTTGTCTTTAAAGTCGGTTTACGGACAAAAGATTGACGTTACATAATAATCGCTTTATCGGTGCCGTTGGTGACTACTCCCCGGATTCTGATCACCCAGGAGCCAGTCACCATCGACGTTCTAGAGACGTCCATAAGGATTCCTCAGATCCAATAACCTTTGCATTAGACGCCTTCAGCTCTAACACTAGGAGTAGGCTCAGAGACCCCGGTAACCGTACTCGTCGAACTCGACGAAGAGATCGACGTGCAACCTAACCCATGCATCAGCCCGCTGAATTTCTCGCCGGATCTTCTCAGCGGGTCACGATTCCGATCCGGTAGTAGATTCATTCGCGAAGCAATTGCTCTTGAGCTGTTAGGTCTCCTGCGGAGGCGCTCGGGCACCTGTTAGCAAATCCCACCCCTCCTGGCTTAGCCTTTGCTCGTTCACCTGTCCTGGGGAAGCCTCCGGGCCACCAGTAATCTTTTAATCATTAAAAAAAAAAGTTTGACGTGATAACGTCAGTAGCAGAACTAGTCGAACGCTAGCTCTGACGTCACGCGAGAAGACAGATAAATGTGTCACAAGCCAATGCTTGGGCCTATCGTGCCTCTCTATCGCTTGTTCCGCGCTCTCGCTTGCACGCTCACGCTCAGGCGGAACGTGACACTTTTGCGTGCATGCAACCGGTGTTCATCGATTTCTAAGACGTTATCACGTCAAAACTCACGGCTACTTTGTCATTAAGTGTCTACTAATTTGCCTATAGAGATGTTAACGTGATTACCGCTACCCAGCGGCTACCCAGTATCAAACACATATATAATATAAAATAATAATTTAACTGTGTTATAATTAAAGCCATATCCCTTCTAACTTCTCAACCTTTTTTCAACTCTAATCTCTATTAATTAATCATTCGCAAAATGAGCAATATTTAAATCACAAAACAGAGAGCAGAGTTCATCCATATTATCTGGAACCGCTGCGTTCATCGACAGTGCGTTTCCAGAGGTCTCTTCTGCCACGTACTATCCGGCTTTGGAATGAGCTTCCCCTCCACGGTGCTTCCCGAGCGCTATGTCATGTTCTTCTTCAAACGAGGCTTGTGGAGATTATTAAGCGGTTGGCAGCGGCTTGGCTCTGCCCCTGGCATTGCTGAAGTCCATGGGCGACGGTAACCACTCACCATCAGGTGGGATGTATGCTCGTCTGCTTACAAGGGCAATAAAAAAAACCTCTTCTTCTTCTTTATCGTTTCCTCATTACTGAGGTTCGTGACCACCTTGGTCCAGTTTTTGCACTAGCTTCCTCCATTGGACATTATCAAGGAGGCCACAAACACCAGCGTCCCGGGCGCCATTAAGCAGGCCGAATGCAGGCAACATTGAAGAAAAAAAAACTAAACTGTTACAAAAGACTAGACTTACTTTTGCGTGAGGCGGAGCTTCTGTGTAAGTTGCACACTCTCGGGGTCAGTTCCTTGTAGCTTCCTCCAGCGATGCACGTTCAGCGGAGTCTCCAGAGCCTCCTCCAGGGCCCGCACCCGAAGTCTCTCCCTGCCGAGCTCACGTTCCAAATTGAATACCTGGAAAAGGAAGTAGTGATGAGCTATAAATTACAAAGATTTTCTCATACCCGATCCTGTAGACCGAATGGTAAATAGTCGACGTCGTCCAAAACACGTCATCACGGATCCTCCCGATCCATTAACGGTGCTTTTGGGTACCACAAGCACCGTCCTCGAATTAACCCATAGACACAGCCCACTGAGTTCCTCGCCAGATCTTCTCAGTGGGTCACGTTTCCGATCCGGTGGTAGATTCTGCGAAGCACTGCTCTTGCTAGGGCCAGTGTTAGCAACACTCCGGCTTGAGCCCCGTAAGCTCACCTACATGTCAGGCTGAAGCTGAAATAGCCTCTTTCATTGATAAGGGGACATATTAAAAGACCCTACCAGAATTTTGGAATCGCGCTATCGAATATTGAGACACTATGATTCTGAATTTTAAAAAAGCTACTACTGGCTCGAAGACAGAATGTTCCCCCTGTGCTATGTGTACCGGAAACATAACTACGTAATAACAAGTAGATCTGGTTTAACAAAGGTAATTGACCATCAGTCATCGAATCTGGATCGGTGGGACACTAATTTAAGGTCACTTACAATAAGGCCGGCTGAGCTGCTGAGCTTGAATCATTGGTTTTTATAATAATTTTGACACCTGTGCAAGAAAGACCCTTATATGGGTAAACGAACTCAAGTGGCGAAATGTGGCCCATGCGTCTGCCATCGCCAATAGGTCAGAGTCCTTAGATGTATTATAATACAGGCGTTATCCCAAAATTCCGACCTTTGCGGCTTCATCGATATAAGTAACACGGTTGCACCGATCAGTATTTATGATTTAAATCCGCTCCGATTAGGGAAATCAAAGTCAAATGATTTATTCAAGTCAATGTCCGAACGCTTATAAAGATAATTTACACTGCTAACGCTAATTTGTAGATTAGAGAAAATCCGGCAATCTGAATCGCGACCATTTTAAGATAAGTTTCCCTATATAAAAGTTATAAACTCCATTTGAACCTGCTAACTTCTCTTCTGGTTTGGCTCATTTATTCTATCACTATCTATCACCGTTGACACCCTAAACAAATCCTAACAGATCCATCTGATCCACTCACAGTTCTTTTGGAAGATACTGGTAGCAGCATCCAAAGCACAGGTCACTGTACCCGTCGAAATTGTCAAAGAATTCGACGAGAAACCTAGTCCATACCATTAGCCCATTGAGTTTGACTGAATCTTGTTAGCGGGTCGCGATTCCGATCTGGTAATAGATTCATCCGCGAAGTAGTTACCCTCGAGCTGTTAGGTATACTTCGGAGGCGCTCAGGCAGCGGTTACAAAATCCCATCCCTCCTGGTCGAATCCGTGCTCACCCACTGGTTTATCGCGTAGTGACACCACTGGGTTCTTTTTTTAGTGCTCTTTTAGGCAGACGAGCATATGGCCCACCGCATGGTGAGTGGTTAGTATCGCCCATGGACTTCAGCAATGCCAGGGGCAGAGTCAAGCAGCTGCCTACCGGCCAAGCCGCTGCCTACCGTTGAAGTTCTTTGATTCGTCCTTCCCCTAAACACCGAATTTAAATGCAGTTTTACAACGAGCAGGAAACTCAGAGCTTGCCCTTTTTTTTATCAAACGTCATACAGAAATGAGTACATAATATAATAATTTTTATTATTCCCTGTACACTAGTTACTCACCTTGCTAATAATCTATAATTTTTTTATTAACTGAAATGTAAGGCTTAAACTGTTTGCGCGTCATAAATATTTATGTAGTGAATTAATGTAATTAAAACTTGACATAACACTTAAAAAAATAACTGGAATATAGAACAGTAATTTGTTTTGGTAACTATTTAATTCTTGTTTCATAATGACCTCGATTAGATTAAATTTGAACCAAATTAAAACACGCACAAACTATAAAGCATAGGTTAAATAAATAATTAATGTCCTGTTTCTTTTTACACTGGACACATTCAGCGGATTGTGAATACTAACAAAAAAAATGCCAGTAAATATTTTACTTTAACTTCCGCTGAATTATGTAAATGATTCGAATATTTTATTATTGTTATGTCAATTAATTTCTATAAATAATTATCGTTGAACTTCCGAATAAATTTAATGACACAGGAATAACATATTCACGTATTAAAATTTAAATGTTGAATATGCGTCATAACAGAAGGAAATGAAAATCCGAACAAAAACAGTTTCACTGTAAAAAATTGCGCCAAGTCCACGTTTATAAAACTCATCTCAATAACATTTGCACTTTACAAAAAAAAGAAGACTTCAATAGCTTTCATTCTCTACAAAAATATGTGAAATACAAAAAAATACCAAGAAACCGTCATAAAGATGAAAAAATTAAAAAAAAATTGTTGAAAATTTAAAAATNTATAAATTAAAATAAGACATGACTTAAAGGTCTCAGTTACCAGGTCATAAAATCCATTACAAATAGGAATAATTCCAGCGCACCCTGGCGGCCGTAGATTACCATTCTCGAATATTTATAGTCTGTGGCATGTCACTTTTTACATCGAAAAAAGTCAGGATCGAAATTTTTGAGCGAGCCATAGTTTGTGGTGATAAAATTAGTAATTTCAAGTAGATTAATTGTTGTAATTGATATAACTAGTTAATATCAGTAAAATAAAGTTGTGAGTGATTGATATAATATACAATTTAGGAACCAGAAGTACCGTAGAATCAAATAAAATTTCGCAACCTCAAAAAACTGTTCTGCTCACAGTAAACACAGTCGGTAGGCTGGCGCTCCGTTTACAACGGGATTTTTGAACGGAACTTGGCGCCAGATTCTACCGAATCTGTGGATTTGACTATCGTGAAACAATCGGATTGGGAGAGTCGAAGTTTGGCCAATACAATCTGATATTTCCTGCGCTTTTTGCGAGTCGTAGCTAAAGACGCGTTTTTTGTTATCATTAAATTATTTCCGAAGATTCGGTCGTTAACACAATATTCGTTGACATTAGCACAATATTGAAATATCGACAAATAACGCCTTAGTTGTCTATGGCCATGAAAATTGTAAAGCATCTAAAACGTCGGAAGTAATAAGACTAAAGTAAAAATGCGAGTTTCATTCTTGAAAGTAGTTTCAATATAATCCGTGACTAAGTTTTCAACTAGATTCTTTTACTTTAACGTTCATACGACTCACAATAGAGGTGATGCCTTTTCCAAGAGTGTTTGCGAGTGCCGAGGTTGCTGACGTGGATGGAACTAGACCTCAGGGAAGAAAGAGAGCGGAAGTGTTCCCACCTCCCCAACCCTCCTCTGATCACCGATCTACACTGAGGTCCCAGACAATACTGCTGTACCCAAGTGCGGGTCTGAGGAGCTCAAATCCTTAGCAGGATAGCTTGGCAGTCGATCTCGGTATGCGGTCGTTGGAGGAACAAGAAGGGGAAGGGGATGTTAAAGGAACACCTAGGGATTTTAATCATAGGGGTACATTCCATTGCACATTCCGATATCGGTTCTCTTCCTCTCCCAGGAGATGGATGAAGCACTCTTAATGGATTTTCCCTCCTCAAAGAAAGTGCTTAGAATATGTTTTTACCGAGCCAATCATTCAAACTAGTATATTAGACATTTTGTTTGCACAATTATATTATTAAATTTGCTTAAAGCACATTAAACCTGTGGACTTAAGTAAAGAAATAGGTACGCTAATGACTTTTATCATTAGGTTTAGGTGACTTTGTCGAGTTAAGACATTTTTTGGCCAAAGCTAAAGTTAATTACTAACAATGTTTTTATCATTTACTCATTTGTACACAAATAAGCAAAGAATATTCAGTTAACTAACATTTTGTCCTCTGTTTGTCGTCTGTTTCATATCTATTGACAAGCTTCAGTTCAATCAATATAACAATTTTGGAAACTGATTTTTATTACTGTCAGTGCAAGAAAATATGTTAATAAAATAAATAATAGTTTAAAAAAACTAACAAAATACGCTTTTATAGAAAATTCAACTAAAAAATAGAAAATAAATTTTAATAAATTTGAATTAAAAATAGTGTAAGAAAAAATGATTTTATTGTAAAAAACTAATTACGTGGTGTCGTGGGACACCAGGTAGGAACGAAGTTCCTTCGGCTAATGTAGAATCGACACAATTTGCAAAAAAAAAATCGTGCTCAATTTTATGTTGGCTTTCTTGATTTTTCTCTTAAATTTTGCTGATTAGTTTTTATTTAAGTACAGGAAAGTATTTAGAAAATTCAGTATTTTAGGAAATAATAAATAACGTAAAATAAAAATAAAATCGTAATTCAAATTATCAATTAAAATAACAAAATATGTCTCTTTATTTTTGTTTGACAACATAAAATTACATAGAAATAGAAATAATTACAAAATAGAGAGAGAAGGGATGAGAGAACGAAAAGAAAGAGGGAGAAAGAGAAAGGTACACTACTCGCTTGTGTGTATACGACTGTCGCGCCTGCACACGTCTCATTTAACGGTTTTATTCCACGCACTTATTTCCACGGATTTTTTAACGGTTTTATTCCACGCACTTTTTTCCACGGATTTTTTCTTACGGTTTTACTATCACATTTTTTTCAGTTCGGTCGCGCAGCAAAATCCCAATCCCCTCCAAGCCTGCCGTAAGGAACTTCGTTCCAGAAAAGCGTGTGGTGCTTTTCAGGATATTATCAAAATAACCCTACTACTCATATCTGTTCATAAAATATGTATAACTACTGATACCATGTACTATTAATTACATTTAAACTATTACTTATTTTTCATTTTTTACTTGAATTGCAAATTTTTTCAATATTTTTTTTACTATTGTATTGTCATCAGTTACAAACACACATACGTCTGAAGCTAATAAAAGCGTATTGAAATAGATCTTCCTACCTATTTTTGTGTTAAAATCCTTATCAATTTCAAGGATAGGATATCCATAATACAATGGCATGTTACAGTCTATTATCTTAGGATTGGTAAGTCGTTCAGGAA